AGCATCGTTGAAAATTCTACCTAGTATTGATAGTACTGTGCTCCGTGGTTTTTACACTGATTAAGATCTCTTTTCTTCCTTATCCGAATGAGTCAACTCACTTCCAGTTAGTTGGTTATTGTTATTCCTTCTAAATATTTCTGAACAGAACATGGAACATTTTTTGCAGTTTCCGCTATATCTGAATACAGTACTTCAGTTGATGTGCTATCTGGTCCTGCGACATTGTTATTCCTGATTTATTTAATGGATGGGTGTCATTTATAAGGAGATATATGTGTACTGTATCGATACCCGGTGGGTTCAAGTGGTTTTTTCTGAGTTAGCTTGTCCCAACTTTAGTCATCGACACTGAATGGGAACCGATAGTAATCCTAAAAAGGGCTTCAGGAAGAGTCAACAACAAAATATAAACAAACAAATGTTGCTTTCAATTAGATCTTCATCAAGGTTTACAGTAATGTTTATATGAACATGAGAAAAACATGGAACAGATCAAAGCAACTTGTGAATCAAAGGTAATAAGTGAAAGTGGATGACATACCTAATCGTAATAGGTAGAAAGTACAAATTAATTGTAAAATGACAGGTATGGTAGTGAATAGAAACATGATGAACAGCATGATCAAGCTTTTCAAGTCATTTTTCATTGCTCCATTTAGACTGTCATGCTGAGCATTGATATTTATATCTTCGTTCACTTGTGCCTTCAAAAAGAAATTGCTCTTAAGGAGAGTGCATATCTCTACATTTCTGTTAAAAACTCCTCTTGGTATTCCGAATCAGTCAACACATTATACATAAAATTTGTAGTGCCGCCTGACAAGGTCTTTCTAGATATGTTTTTTTGAGGCACTTATTAGGTCTCTGTTGTCACGAATGGGTAGAAGCTATAGAAAAGGTATGGAATGTCAAGAAAATGAATATTTCGTGTAAATATCCCTTATAATCAAATCATCTACTTTATTGTCTAACAAGCGTACAGGAAATACAATATTTTGTCAAGCTCCTTTTAAAGTGGACGTGGTTAATGAGAGTCCACTATTAAATCAACTTAGTTATTCAGAAACCTTGCTATAAATGACTCCAATTTGATCGTGTGGTTATCGTTATCGACTTATCCTTGCATATAATTATCGACTTAAATCGCGTTAGTAAATAACGGAATTAAATAAGTCAAATAAGTGAGTAGATTTTTGAATAAGTATATTTCGTAAAATCATTGATTGGAAAGCGAGGCAAAATGGCATGTCGTGCGGTGGAGAGGGCGAGTGAACCAACTCATTTTAGCCAATCGTGAATCGATATTTATTGTCGAATAAAAATAAGTAGCAGACACAATGAGTAAGGTTAGTAATTAGCACATATACGAGCGTTTAGTGAAACAGTTAGGATTAATAAGCGAATACGTGACAGATTAAAAATGTGGCTGGAGAAGAATGGGTAGATTGATCTGTTCAGACCTGACCTGACATCAGCACTTGCAATTATTCTTACTTCTCATATTCTGGTTAACGGTAGTGTGTGTGCCAGTAATGTAGCGGCAGTAAATTTCAAGCTTATTGATAACCTGTTTGACAGGATCCTTTACTAGTTTTACGCGAAAAAGGCTGCTATTATTGTGCCTGAAGTTGAATCCATCGCTAGTCCACCATTCTGTCTATAATACATGTTACTGTGATCAAAATAAACGTTCATTGTGTAATCCTTTGAGATTAGCCTCGGAAATCTCAACATTGATTTGTTCCTCTGACAGTTGCTGAAACAACCTCAACTGTCCTAATTAGTGTAGGGTGGATCAAAAAGTATATTAACCAAAAAATAACAATAAAAATAATTACGTCTAAAAGTTAATGTAACAATAAAACAACTTATGAGTTATTAACACAAATAAAAGTTTAGGAACGTTACGTAAATTGGCCGGCTGTCGCGTGTTCCGTTGAGTTTGGTACCACTAATCCACAATTATAGATAAATAACAATTCCAATATGGTTGATATGGCTCCAGTAAGTTTGTCAAATGTAGAATGTTATGGGAATGTCACAATTGTCTATAAATATAGATGATAGTCAATTAATAGTCCAGTTATCATATTTACAGGCATAATAGAACGAGGCATGTGTGTATGAGAGTGTATTTATTTATGAGCAGTTACAATATCATGCTATGTTGAATTCAAAAACGAAAGTTAGTTAGCAAGCGTTCAAGGTCAGACACTTCAACAACAAGTACAATTGTTTAGTGATAAATATACAAAATGTGAAAATAAACAAAATACATGCAAAAGCTATGGAAAATTGTTTACAAAATAGGTTTAATAGACCTATCTCCATACTTTCAACCTCCTGACAACAGAAGTAGATTATTTATGCCAATCAATTTTATTTGTCAATCACAGAATGTGTTTGGTGTGGGCTACATATATCCAAATACTATATAACGACGGTCGGGCATTGAATGTAATTCAGTAGAACGAAGCGCGATCGGTATGAAAATGCATGAACAATAATAATGGGAGACGATGAACTGATATTTGCAGAACGAACGTTCCAGATTGAGACAATTGATTAATAGTTTGCAAATTGACTACGTACTATATGGTTCTCATATTTTACTGAGATATTCTGTAACCTTGTGCTCGAATACATACACCGGAAAACGAAGAGAGATCTAGGTTTTGCATTTGCCTCCCCTTTAAATCCATAAATAATGGCTTCTCTGCTTTTCTATTCATGTCCTCATTGTAGTCAGGTGTTAAACGTTTGTTAGATCGTTCAACAGTGAGTCCACCTCATCAGTGCGGTGTAATTTGGTCTTTAAAACTGATCCTCCAATTTAATTTGATTTACATGTGATCAGCTTATTGCCTTTTCCAGGCATTTGTTAGGCATTTCAATTTCAGATGGTCAGTTAATATTTTGTGGCAAACAATTGTGAAAGTGATACTAAAACAGACATTCTAGATGCATGAGAAGAACATACTATTCGAATAAAATTCACATTTCCATATCATTAAAACAAAGCGAACCGTTTAGAAACACACCTCAAGTATGTTGTACATCTAATATTATGAGAAAACCTAAATGAACCTGTTTGGGAGATGGATCTATCTAGATGATTTTATTCTCACTGTGCTATTCAATGCATGAAGTCATAATTAATCATCTTGAATTTATCACGAATATATCTTAACTGTTTAAAACCTTATGAGATGGAATTATTGATGCAACCCGTCAAATCATCTGATATTACAAGACGGACATGGTGGATACCATAACAACTTATTCGTTTTAGTGCAATCAGACACCTATTCACACAAAGATAAATGTTATGAAATCTAATTGAAACGATGACTGATTTTAGTATACTAGTTCAGCAAGTCCCTCATTCAATAGTGGAGTATAAATATATAATCCCCATAAATAATATATACTATACATCGACCTACAATCCATCTGTAAACATATTTTTAAAATTATGACGATTTCATCATGAATTTCCAATGTCGGGTCCCATTGAACCAGTAGAGAATCTTTATTTATCCTTTATACACAGGGATCAATCGAACATGTACTAATAGTACAATTCACACCAAACTTGAAAAGGCACGGCAGATACTTATCGGTAGCCGTAATCGCCCTATATTCATCGACTTGAATCTGAAGCCAAAACAACAACATGGAAGAGAGTCAATGCAATCAGAGAATATCCTCCTCATGAAAACTCAGTTGAAAGGGATGCTGGAGCAGAGAATCTGAAGAATAGACTTCCCATACCACTCAGACAAACAATCTATTCGGTTGAACTTTGTATTTTCTTCTCCCGTTAACGTTCACTTCATAGTTGTGTGGAGGAGAAACTCTCCCTTTCAGGCAAACTAATTTGCATATATTAGTTTGGTTGCTATTTCGATGTAAATTATATGGGTCAAACAAAGTGAGCTCTCTAGAAACCCATCTCCAAACCTTCCTCCATCTGACTACCGGAAGGACTACACAAGTCAGTCAATATCTATATTCTGGAAGATCTCGTTGATTCTGGTTTCTCCACCTCTACAATACCTTCCTACCAATCGAAACTTGTTCACAGTTGAGGTTCAAGTTATCCATAAGTTTAATTTTAATATTCATTTTAAAAACTGTATCACTATATATCTTTGTTTATTTCTCCTTAGTATTCTCTATACTCTGTGGTCTATTGTTTTCCTTTGTTTTCCGATTTTTCATAATTGACAATTAACTACTCTCATCCCAATATTTTCCATCTACTTGTTGTCTAATCGTAAAAATTTCTTTCAATATATGGAATTTTATAGAAATTTTATGACTTAGTGCCAGTTTAATTTTTAAATTTTTCGGTAAACTATGCACTACCTGTTAATTTAATCAAGCTAATCATTTCGATACTTTAATTTTTTGATTATTGTTGACGACAATAAACCTTCAATTATCAGTATAGGGTTGCAGGAATTACTGTTATTTGCTGAAATGATGAAGTCGTCTAGATTGGACTACCACTACTGTTTCATCCTTTTATGAGACCCTTGAGCAGTGGACATTCATGACTTCATATCACGAAATAAAATACACAATCTTCGGTAATTTTAAAAGAATATCATTTAAATAGAAATACTATGCAAATTATAATGCCAATCATCATTTACTATCAAGTACACTAAATTCACTGTCCTAATAGTCTTGAACAACAACGTCTATTAACCTAATCTTGAAATCTGACTAACTGACCATGACCAGAATATCGTAGATAACATAAAATGCTCAATCAGAATATTTTCAAGATCTGTCATACATTATCTTTATGAAACAAAGTAAAATGTACATTTGACATAATCTAATGTCTGACTACTAGGCTACAATTTCAACAACACACAATTAAGTATCTGAATTTGATGTAGGCAAAATGAAATTGTTGTGTATTATTTTGTCTGAATAAGACAAAACATAAAACATTTAATTGTACAATTACTGTTTTGTTTCTTCAGTACACCCAATGCACCTTGTCTCTTTCTCCATATATATGTCCATAATGTAGTATTCGTTTATTTGTAGGTCTGTCAAATACACAAATTTCGAATGCAGTTGATAGTGTAGTGCAAAATTTTCAATTATTTCTTCCAATATGCAACAAACGTTTAAATGCTTTTGCATACTTATTATTACAAAATGCGTATATAAATGGGTTACACATACTATTCAGGTAAGCAGACCAACAAGTTGCCATGTAAATTGGTTCAGAAAATAGACATTCACATGCTGCTTCCACCAAATACATTGTGGTAAATGGAAGCCAGCATAAAACGAAACAACACACTACCAATGCTACTGTTTTGACAGATTTTTGTTCTCTGTTGAAGATAAGACGTTTATGACGGTTACAATCCATTTCAGTGTGTGTTTTAGAATACTTCGACATGTAAATTTTACTTCGTGTAGACTGACTATGTAATGTGTGTTTGTGTTTACGTTCATAGTTTTTCTGTCGATTATTTAGAGCAGTGTCAGTCGTTTTGTGAACAGCTTGAAGTGAATTGTCTATGATTATATCTTCTTTCGTATAAGCAGTTGGTGAAGTACAGGCTTCTGTGTTCGCTGTACTTTCATGAACCACAAACGTAAAAAAATCATTCAAATCAGATTTCGTCGTTCTACGCAACATCGTTATGCGAAACATCGGAATAAAGTTTGTGTGTTGTTTAGGCGTTTCCGGAACATTCCACTCTGGTTGTACAGCACTCTCATTGGAAAAGGAATTCATGGAAGTTTGACTGTAAGACTGAGCGACAGGAAATCTGCTCAGATCGTTACGTCTCTCACATGGAGTGCAGGCAATGCACAATTTACATTGTCTGCATTTTGACGCAAATAATCGAAGTTGATTGGAGTTAACTGAACCGAGATACCTCTTGATACGTACAAAACGATGGCGATAGATATTATTCAGACTGAAGAGCAATTTAAATGATCCAAATCTATGTTTTTCCATGTTAGATGAATACTTATCAAATTCTAATTCCTTCGAACGACGACGAATCACCCATAATATACGTATGTAAATGAAACCGACCAACAGAAATGGGATAATTAATATCGAGATTCCTGTGAGAAATCTAAATCCTGCATCAGTTCTTATGTAACAACGTCCTACTCCTGTGTGGTGTTGGAAGCCAAATATAGATGGGACCATTACTAGCAACGATATTATCCAAGCACTTCCAATCATTACAAATGCAGTACGACGTGTTCGCTTGCTGATGTATTTCATCGGATAATTGATTGCAATATATCGATCCACAGATATACAGACTATGTTCAATATGGAAGCTGAACACAAGAACACGTTGAGAGACAGCCAGAATATACATAATTCGTGTGATTCATAAGGCCAATAACCGTAAACTTGACGCACCATAAAATGCGGTAGAATTAGGACTGCAACAAGTAGATCAGCCAAAGCAAGTGATACAATGTACAGATCAGTTATACGTCTCAATCCCTTAGTCGTTACAACAGCTGAAATCACTAGTAAATTACCACCAAATATAAAAATGCCAGATAGGATTTGGAGAGAGATGATAATTATGTTCAATGCAAATCTCCATTCACTGAACCTTTCACTTTCCACTTTTGGTAGATTAACGAGATCATTGATAAAATTAGAATTTGTGTTAAATAATCCATAAGAGATATTTGCATGACATGCCTCCATTCTATATTCATTTTCGTGGAAAGTGTTGTAATTTGAAAATAGGTGGTTCATTCGGACTAATTTTTCTCAGAAACTTTATCAATGTACAGGAATCTTTGTTAAATTTCCCGAAACGGACATTATTTGTCAACTTAACTCGAAGTAATATTTTGGTGCTTCATTCATAAATTAACATGTGCATCAATGTTCATATCATCCTTATGAAATGTACTACATCAATTGGAATCTTATTTAATATATTAGTCCAGCTTGTCTTCTATGTGACAGAATTTGAACAACTGTGTTTTGAGCTTGCTATCCACATGCTTTCCCCTTCATTGATGGAAAAAGGTTTCACAGTTGCAAGTGCATTCCTCAAACTATTTATCCAATGGCAATAATGGTAATCTTTATAATGATAATTTTTGACAATATATTATTGGTTAATGTCTAAATACTGACAGTTTATAGGTTTCTTTCACATACAAACGAATGATGATGTGAGAAATTACACTTGGATTTTAGGTAATGGTGATTTCATCACAGTAATTTTGTTCGCTAATTAAGTTGCTCGTCGATACCATTTGTTTTCCATCATAATCTACCATTTTATTAAATTTAGTTGACAGTGATCGACAACGTACTTTCACCAAGTATTCTAAATTATATATCAAACCATTTAAGCCATTTTTATTAGAAGTGGAAAAATTGATTGATTATGCTTGCCTCACTATCCGTTCACGTGATTATACAATTCTCATGTTTCGGAAGATTCTTGTGCTTCTTCGTTTGAACTGGTTTTCAGTTTTCAGAAAGTCTGTTGTGTAGATTGTGGTATTTTTATCAGTTGGGTTTATAAGTCGATCTAAACTAGACCACCATTGAAAAGCTGGCTGTAATAAACTGCCTTCTCGTTCTAGTATGGGACTCCTCATCAGCGCGCATCCACGCAGGACTCAAACCTAAGGTCTTTCGTCTCGTGCGCACTGTTGAGTAGTCACATACAATAACGAAACAGCCGTCTAGTGCTTCCAGGTTTGCAACTTTATTTGCTTTTTCCAAACTCACTACAACAGCAAAAATGAAACCCTGTAATAACACATGTTCACCGAATACCAAACACGCGCAATATAGAAGAAGATGAAAAGGAGTCGACCTAATCATTCAATACTCTCAGAATAAACATATATCTTGGGATGTTCATAATTAAATACAACGCGTCATAGACAAGAATACGAGGTATCTAAACTGTGGACAAGAGGTCATTGAAACATCGAATATGAAATGTTTCGAACATTTCACTAAAATGAAAAAGGTTTTGAATTATTTCCCAAAACCCTCTCAAATTTCAAGTCCCAATCATAAATTCGAACTAAAAGTAATCGTCACAAGATTGATTAGGATAATTTAGAAGTGTACAGCCTTGCATCAGACTATGACGTGTAATAATACTCCCCATTTAATATAATCAAAGGATTTAATTCAACGATTTCGTTGAAAGGTGGACGTTTGTTGGAAACGCATCCAAAATTAAGTTGTAAGAGTAGGAAAATATGCGAATTCTGACCTTGGAAAGTGTGTAGTTTGTGTGAACATTTCACATATTAGCGAAGTTGTGGACCCACTGAGAAAGATAATCATAATGAGTCAATTCAGAAGACAGTGTAAATGCAGTATTCTAGTGATTGATATCAGTCAAAAGTCTCTGTTCATTTGTTCGTAGTCTGAGTATGTATTGCTTGAGACATTTGTGTTAGAAGTAGATTTGTATGAAACAAATGTGATTTTCCATGGACATCAGTTATAGTCCGTTCACTAATCGAGTTCATTGGAAAGCATGTACCGCCAATAAATATATAAACCGTACAACTAATTGCCAGAACCTGGATGAATTGATGCCAAACTTATGAGTTATGCATTGTGATCTTTTAAATTTCTGAGGTTTGTCAGTAAATAAATTACCGTAAATCAGAACGAATAGTGAAAAGAAAGTTAGGCAAGATAATCGCCAACATTGAAGAACCACGGAACATGTGGCCGACCAATAATTGAAGAGATAAGCATGGCTATTAAACAAATCAAGAGCGGCAAAGAAGCGCGACCAGACAACCTTCCAGCGGAGGCACGGAACGCGAATGTAGCAGCAACTGCAAAGATACTTCATATTCTCTTCAGTAAGATTTGGGATGAAGAACGAGTATCAACAGACTGGAAAGAAGGAATTCTAATCAAAATCCCAAAGAAAGGCGATCTCAGCAAGTGCGATAACTACAGGGGCATCATACTTCTCTCAATACCAGGAAATGTCTTCAACAAGGTATTGTTAAATGGAATGAGAGACTTCGTATACGCCTGATTTGTCAGTCACGGAGTCTTATAAGAGTGTCATCATATATGTTAATTCGAAAACTCAACACACGTCACCACTGAAATGACCAATTCATGCCGCTTATCGGTTCGTTGCCAGTGATATGCAGCTTCACGTGTGGGTTTACAAACAGTGATTTCTCATGAGGTGTCTATTTCATAGAAGTGTGTTTCACCTTAATATTTACCTCAGTGAATCTCAACTGACATCACTTGTAATATATACATGTATGCTGACGGTGGGATGTACTTTCACATTTCGACACTCACAATCGCCCTATTCATACTAATGATTGTACATTTGCCATGTTTCATAATTTCCCTTCTGGAATATCTAGTCATTGAAATCCATGTGATCAAATTTCAGATTAAAACTAATCAAATTCAATGACCTACAATTTACTAGTTGAAAGTTGATAATTCATAGAACTAATTGTTTCCTTCTTTGTAGTCATCCTTAAATTAATTATTCATGTGTGTAAGAAATTCTAGGTAATATTAATAGTAGCAATAATGATGACAACCTTTACAGTAGTAATATTATCGATAGTAATAATGATAATAATGGTAATAATAATAATAATTCAGTCAGACAAGTTTAAGTTGTGAAGACAGAGTGGTTGAGTATGTAAATAGGCTAAATAAGGTCATACTACGATTATTTGTTTGTCAGCTAATGAAAATGAATTATTTGTAATAATGTCACATTAATATATAAGACCAGTTTGACTTATTTTATTATCGTTTTCCACTACAACTACTGATGAGTTTATCAAATATAAACGGAAAGATTTTAGATGTATAACTGTTATGTTACACGCAAGAAAGATGACATCTAGGATGTGGTCTAAATCTTAAAACCAAATTGGTTGTAAAAAATACCTATTCAGTTTAACGTATATATCATGGACATGTGTTTGAAGTTGAATAACTAGGTATAATATTGCGTTCACTTTTCTAATTCACACCAGTGCCTTCCTTAAATTACGGAATTTTGATCACTATAAAAAAATGCTTAATTTCATCCATATTGAATTCAATATTTTCTTCTGTAAATTCATTTAAACGTTGTTCTATATAACATGTGTGAACTATCGTTCATTGTGGCAATTTTATTTTTCGTACCAATTCAGGTGAACTACATTTATCCTAACAAATTCACAAACAGTTTACAATTTCCTTTCTTATGCTCTATTTTACAAGTATTTGTTATATTCTCGATGCAAACTGATAAATCCTGTCACTATAGTTATAGCTTAAATATTTCCTTTAATGTATCTTAATATCTGATTGTCACACTATCCCTTGTTTCCATCGTATCTTGAAGGTTCATTGGATTCAACAGCGTCTTTTCTATTCTATCTATATAATTTGTGATATTGTAATAAATAAATAAGAAATCCACCTGACAAAAGTAAATAATAATCTCGTGCAACCGTTTGTTTTTTATCATTGAATATCTCCACTAACCTTGAGTGTAAACACAGAAACATACATAATAGAAATAACATGTTTGTGATCTACCAATTTACAAACCCATTAAGTTCTAAGATTTTACCATATATAAATATTAATGTATATTTATCACTAAATGTAAACCAGTTCACTAAGTATCAGTGTTTGACACATTCGCTGTTGGACTGAAATGTTCCGGATTCAATGTCATGTGAAGTCATAAATATGCACTACTGATGAATACTAAAATATGGTAAACTCTTTCAAATTATTTCATTTTCCAGAAAGCGTGATATGAAATGATATTGAAATAGATAATAATCGTCTTATTATCGCTTACTGTGATCTCCATTCACGGGACTGTTTCATTACCACAGTTTATGTTCATACTAACCACTGTTCTGTAGTCATACTATCTAGTGTTGTTGTATAGAAAATGAATTTTCTCAAACATGTTAACGCAAGAAAACACTGATTAAATTGTTTTGAAATTTATTCACTGAATTTATGACAACATTTTTGGTACTAAGTGGTCGACGACTTGACTGAAGATAACTGTTTCGAAGACCAAACAGAATGACTTTAATTGCAAGACCAAAGCAGCCATGAATGCAGACTGATGTCAAGTGACAGAATTAAGCAGCCACTGTACTTTAACTTAACTTGACCGACGTCTGAAACGCATTTAATACTCCTGCAATACCATGATAATATATGTAAAATGCAGTCGGCAATATCAGTATGACAGTATGTCCAGTTATGTGACATAATTCATATAAGCATAATTGTATTAATGCTGATTATTTTGCAATTATTAGCAGTTTTATCAAATAAGCTTTTTTTCTAGGGTGTTTCACAATAATGGAGTTCTTAAAATTACAGGAAAGCATGTTTTTACTTGTTATATATAGTGCAAGATATCTTAGTATCGTGGTTTATAATGATGTTGAATGTAAGGATATTTTATTTTTCAGGAAAAAGACAAATTGTTATCTCCATTTTATCAGAATATTCTTCTTCTAATGGACACATTATCAATGCGTTTCCATCTTTATACTAATTGAGGTAACAGATAGCATAAAATGATACTGCACAGCATACTTTAGGTGATTAAGTTGTTGCATTTTATACAAGTACTTATATTACATATTCTGGTATCAGTTGTTTATATCTACTTTGGCATGAAAAGTCGCAACTCTGCCTGTAGCTCTTCTAGAGATACTGCATGTCCCGAGCTCGGG